TTTTTTTTTTTTTTTTTTTTTTTTTTTTTTTTGCTTATGAACATAGTATAATTAGTAGTAGAAAGTTAATGGAACATTGAGCTATTTATGACAAAGCGTACTGAACCTGTGATCTGCAGAATTACAAAGATTTAAGCGGCAGATATTCTGTAGGAATCAAAATGGCTGCTACCAAATGTCGGCCGGTTTTCGTACGTGAACAAGTTTGAGTTCTCGGAAATCAAATTCAATTTCTTCGCTGTTTGTAGCCTGTCTGGCTTCAGCATATTTCTGATTTTTATCGTTCTAGTTTTCTATAATACTTTTTCGGTTCCCTCGGTTTTTTCTTCGAATCAGCCCTTTATCGAATTCCTAACCTCTCTAGTTTATTGAATTTAGGTAGTTACAAAATAATTGTTTCTAAAATTTTGAAATGTGAACGTAGCATTTTACTGAACTTAATGAACCCGGCTCATAATTGTTTAAAAGACTTTAAAAAAGGGCAGAGTTTCAATAGAAGGCAAGCAATTTCTCAAAGTCTTCATTTTTCAAGCAAATACAGTACCTGATTTAACAAGTCAGGGTAGAACGGCGTTATTGCAGGTAAGAATGCGTACTTCCAAAAATACTTTTTGTTATTATCAGGCTTCACTTCTTGCACATAAGGTTTTCGAATCACCTAATTCACCTCTAATAGTTTCAGACTTCTCTTTAGTTCTTGCTAACTTTTTAATGGTCAGATGCTGAAATCTTGCTGTAATCCTTTTGCCACTTCATAGGGCAGCTTTCACTTCAACGGGTAACTTAATGGCTAGTGCACTTATGTTGCAACCGCAGTAATAGGAATCTGGAATGGGTTTGAATCTGAACCCTGTGCAGTTTTTCTTCTCCCAGTTATCGTTCTCAGCGGTTTTTTGATCTGCCCAAAAATACTCGTTTATTCACTATGGGTTAATTTTGTACAGAAAACTCGACGAGTGGTGGTTATGTTCTAGAAGTTTCTGCTTTCAACATTTTATAAACCTCTGGTTGCTTCCTAACTTATAGAAGCAGTGAGAACGTGGGGAAAGAAAAAAAACTTAATATTGAGAAAAAATTTTCAACAAAAGTGAAGAGAGGTGGCTATAGAGTGTGAAGGGTGCAGTATAGTTGAAACGAGGTAAGAAACAACAAAAAGTAGTTAAAAAAAGGTACACGATGAAGAGTAACTGTTAGGACTTTGTAGCTCAGGTTTTTTTTCTGTGTCATACTGAGAAGCATCTGGAGAGGTTCATAAAATGGTAAGGGTAGACACCTCTGGAACGCAAACTCGCGTAGCACAATTTGTCGAGTTCCGTGAACACAGCTAAAAGTTTGTGATTAAGTGAGTTTTTTTGAGCAAATCAGAACAAGAACTGTGAGGACTGTAAGTAGAGAAATTGTGCGGAGGATGGATTTGAACTTCTTCCAGATTTCTAGAACTGTTGTTGCAAAGTGCGTACACTAATTATTAAACCACTTATTGACGTTAAGACGGTATTATAAAGTGATGGAAGAATTACAGCTACATTTAGCATTAGACCATTAAAAAGTTTTTCAATACCACAGGAATTTTTTTTGTCATCGCAGTGAACGAAATCCTGTGCACTGCACATTATGGTAGGAGGAATTTCTTTTATCAAAGCGCAGTGGAACAGCTAATTAACTATAAGCAATGAAATCATTTGTTTTTGCAACATAGACAGTATCTATTGATTTTCTTCCATATAAAACGGTCGGAGTATAGTTACAGTGTGCTTAGGTTCGTCTGACCGGTTTTTTTCAATCTGTTTAATATCTTCGCCGCTTTTCAAAATGCAGGCTCTAGTATTGCTTCCGCTGGGAAGTGCGAATGTAACTGTTACTTGCTATAGAGTGCTCTGATTCCAGCTCTACAGTATAACGGTATATAGCGGGCGAAGTGGCTCTTATTTAGTTAGATCATCCTCCATGAGGGAGATGAACATTGGAGCAACAGATTAAGCGGAAAGTAATGATTGCAAGCCATTATACTTGTCGTGTTTTTTTCGCTAAATTGTCGTTTTGCGTGTTTTGTTATCGATTTATTTAAATTAATGTGTAGAAATTTTTTTAGTTTTAAGGTAAAATATGTTGTCCCGAGTAATTGCTCCCTCTGTCCGTTCAATTTCCACTAGTTCTTCTTTGATGAGGATTGTTCCTGGCAGCTTGGAAGACCAAGAATGCGCATACCCTATAGCTGGGAAAAAAACTCACTTTACTGACCTCAAAAATGCATTTAATGGGATTAAGTCAGGTAAGTGGGGCATTTTGTGGATTGATTGCGCAGAAAGTATTGTATAACTTATGCAGATTTCTTGTTTCATGTTTTGGTTGCAAATTTACAGCTTTGAGTA